GATGTCCTCATACTATGCATCTCTACTGGATAGCTTATGTTGGATATGACAGAAGCGGTTGCCATCAGGTTACGCAGACCGGTCCTGCGCGGCTAAAAAGAACTTCGTAAAGGCGTCGCAGCTACCATAGCCAAAAGTCACCAATTTAAACGCGTGCAGCTTTGTATTTTTACCGACGGCCCATCCTCTCTGACGCTGATTAAATTGTTGACCCAAATATTTTCCCACACTGCTCGACCCTAAGAACCACACCACTTTCCTTATTAACTCACATATTTTATTAAGTTAATAACGATATAAGTGTACAGACCTGAAGAGTGCTTAAGAAATTTTTTAGTTTACATAATTATGTAGCCTAATCTCGACATATTTCGACACAGCAGCATGCCGGATTCTGAGCAAGATTTTCTTGTGAACATATGCAAAACATGCACCCTGTACACAATGGCAACTTCAGTAATGTACAGTTGTCTCATGGATTAACGAGACCTTTGTGAAAAAAACTGAACTCATTTATTAGCCAACTACATCTGTTTCAACACCTTTACCTATAGAACCTGTAGCTTTGGCTTTAAATGTAGCGTAATTTGGCATTTTTAAAGTCCACGAAGTAGTCTTTTGCAATACATCCGGTCTCTTAATCGTTTAATGTTGCTTATAAAATATGCAACATGTACGCTTTTATAGAAAATATGTATGAAACCTATACGAATACATTTTCACAACTTAGCGAAATATATGATTTTTCTTTAATTGACTGTGTACCGCACGTAGTTTATAAACCTTACATACAAGGGTAACGGCAGTTTGGGTATAAATCTATTCTGCAAGTTGGAAACTGACTCTCGTTGACGAAGTTGTACCGATCGTTGCCGGAACTCCCTTGTCTCGCTCTGTCTTGGGTCTCATTTCTCGGGCTCTAGACTAAAAGCCGCCGCTATGACTGCTGTCAGAGCCCGAGTGAGTTCCGTTAATGATCGGTGAATATTCATCAACTATTATCAATACCCTATGACCTAAATCAGCAAGACAAGAGTTGGTGACTTAATGTTTGGTGAGTAAGTCGCAAAGGTCGCAAGTTTGATCCTCGCTTAGTGAAACACTTGAGGTTGGGTATGACTGACTGACGGCGACTAATAAGCCGGAAATGGCCATCCCCGTCTCCCTTATCTTTGTCGGCAATACAACTTGGAAACGTTCTTAAAACCGAAATATTCGCTATCATTAAGTATATTAGGATATATTTTTGTATGTTTTCTATAAAATATATTTGAAATTATATGGTTATCAAAAACCCAAGATATAAATGCATACATATAAAGCACTTATTTTGACAGAGTAAACTTAATCAAGGTGGATGTAAAAAAAAACATTTATAGGGCGACATATTAGGGTGACTGAAATATTTCTTTATTTATTTGCACTGCTAAAATTTGTGAAACCCTTAGAGATTACAACTTTTAAAAGGAAACAAAAACAACTCACAATATTGACTAAAATTAAGGAATCAATTAACGCCAGGCGTCTGTGACCGCAAGCACCTTTTGAACACTTTACTTTCCGAGATGATTAAACAAAACAGAATTTTGTGTGGATGAATATTCAGCATACCTCGAAAACGATGTCTCAGCCGCTTCGACTCCTTGCGTTGAAACAAAGCATCGTAAACCTGATAGAGCTGAGCATGTTCGAAGATAGATTTATAATGATGTCGTCTTTCATGTTCCTCCGTCTTTCGCTATTAAAAAAAGAAAATAAATATTTCTTGAATTTTGGAATTGAGTTCCTCTGACTGTTTAAAAACAAACACGTACTTTAAAGACTGCACATTCTCCGCCTATCATGGTATTGGGAAGTGGTTTCAACCAAGGACTTACAGTTTATATAAATGTATGACTAAACGTTTTGATTCGGTTAAGAAACACCAGTTTTCTCTCTGGGGCACTAAATTCAGAGGCCAACAGGCTGCTGGATCTTCATGTCTGACAGTCAGACGGCGTTAGCCGCTCCTTATTCACTGGTGTATAAACCCTGGTGTGTGAATGTGTAAAAGGGACCAAGTCATGCTGTGGCTCGCACAGAAGGCTTCGCCAGTACTGTCAGCCACTTCATCCACCCCACATCAGTCAACGCACTGACTCGGACAGGACAGTGGCCTGATACCGTCCGTGAGGGAGACCTTGA